CCACAGTACTGCTGTCCTAAGGCTCAGAGCTCTTTGAGTACCTTTCTAGAATGATGCTGCTCCATCTTCTGGCTTTATGATAGGCTTGCAAGATGAAGGATGGTAACAGTTGGATTTTGGCAGGGAGAGGAATATAAACCAGTTTGGGAATAGAGAATATAATCCCTGCTATCGCTACTCCCAAATGGCCTTTTCTTGGTTTTCTTTTTATAGCTCTGTACCATTTGATAATGTTGATGAGCTGTTGCTGCTTGAAACTCTTGTCTTGGAGTTTGAGAGATCATACTCCTTTGTATCCTAATGATGTGCTAACAGCTTCATTTAGTTTTGTTTGTGTAGCTCTTTTTCTGTTCCTTACCTCACATTCCATCTTTAAACATAAATCTTGATTTCCCAAGGCTTCTGGACTTCTTAGCACATTTTTCCAGGGCAAACTCTGATTTTCACAATTTCTTCTGGGCCATTGATTCCCAAACCTGTATATATACCCTAATTGCTCTTGAGCTTCCCACCCACCTGGGTGTCCTGCTGGCCCCCCATATTTAATACTTTAAAGAGAAAATTTGTCATCTCTTCTCCTGCAAAGCCAAGTCAAGCCAATATTTCCTTCTAATTTACCCTATGCTTTAGTTGACGTTTGCACCCAAAAATCAACTTTGACCTTTTTCTTTTCCTCAAACTAGATTCAATGTCCTCCAAACATGACTTCACTTACCTTTTTAGCCATCACTCCTTCCACTCCCCTTTCCCAACCCTACTCTCTCCAAACTCCACTAGTCGTTGACCATCACATTTCCCAGTCTTCATCTCTGAGACTTTGCTTAATCTCATTTCTCTGCCTTAAATGCCCCTCCCTTTCCTTCTCTATTTGGCACCATCCTACCCATTCTTTAAGGGCTATCTTCATTGCCACACAAAACCTTTCTAGAGCCCAATACCCATGTATAATCAACCTCCTTTCTCTGAAGTCTCGTGCTAGGCCAGCACATGCCAGGCACTGTATATCCACCCTCTCAGTTCACCCACTCTATAACCCTGCCTGTGAGGCAAACATCATTACCCCCATTTTGCAGATGAAAAAACTGAGACCCAAGGTTGTATAATTAGAAACTCTTGTCTTTGGCTTTTGTGAAATTGTACTCTTAGATGTCGTAATTACATACTGACAATTACATTTAAGTTTTTCTCTCTGACTCCCCTTCTATTCCTCACCTCCTGTTGTCATTGCTACTTTCTAAAGTAGTAAAGCCCAGAATTGAAGGTAGGTTTGCCTGCCCATAAAACCACCTTTGCATCCTGCTGGAAAGCATTGTTGGTACCTGGAAACCCTTTGTTCTTCAGGTAAGGACTGCAACTGAGTCATAGCGAGCAGATCCCCACACACAGTAGGAGCCCAGTGAATGAATGTTGGATGGAAGATGGATGAGCAGAGCAAAGTGCATTTAAAAAAAAAATTGTAGCAAGTTAAAAGTTAGTTCTGTACACAAATGGAAGATTTGGAGCCAATTTCCTGGTTAAGTTTAGTTTACATTTTAAAAACAACTCAGAAGATGAGGGGGGAACATCCCCTTGCTCCTGCTTGTGTTTGTGAGGAGAGAACACAGAAGCCCCACACAGCTATTAACCCCTTCTAGATTAGCATTCCTCTCACCTCCCTGCATATACCTGTCAGCTCTCAGTTCAGTGTTTTATAGCCTACAAAGCAGATGGTAGAGTAGAATTATCCCCATTTTATATGTAAAGAAACTGGGACCCAGAGGTAGAATAGTTTGTAAGTTAAGAGCAGAGTCTCTAGAGCCAGACTGTGCCTGTATTGGAATAATGGCTTCAATAGTTATTGGCTGTGTGAACTGCAAATTATTTAACTTCTTTGAGCTTCAGCTACCTCATCTGTAAGATATGAATAGTAATAGTTTTTCCTTACAGGGCTTCTGTGAGGCTGAAATGAATTAATGTCTATAACATGTTTAGAATGGTGCCTGACATATAGTAAACGCTCCGTATTAGCTAACATCATCATAATTATCATTACACCTTTAGTAGTATAACAAGGTCTTAAATTCAGATTATTTTTTCTACCTGTCTTCCCTCTCTGTGGTGTTATGTTAGAAAAAACCCTGGTCCAGGAGGCTGACCATTTGATAACTGTACTTTTGTTAAACCTCATCGATAAAATGAGGCCATGAAGGTGATGATCTTTAAAATTCTGTCCAATTCTGACAGTCATTGATTCTAAGTAGGCCCTGACAACAGGCTTGCAAGTTGGTTAGTTGTTTTTGTGACCACTAGGTCCTAGATTGGCTTTGTCCAGGGTATAACTGAGCCTTGTGACCTGAGGGCCCAGGTATATCAACTGGACTAAATGGGGGACAAAAATCAGCTATCTGCTTCTGGGAAAAGTCAAGCATGGAGTTCCTAAAAAGAAGACTGCAAAGTAAAAAATATAGACAGTGGAATCAGCCAGATCTGGGCCTGGGGGACCTCAAAGAGCACCACAGATAGTGTCCTGAGCAGAAGGTTGGTAATTGATGCTGAGATACTCTTTGACCCTTGATAAAAAGCTATGAATATAGCTTTAAACTACAGGTCTTAGTGGTGTTCTGGGTTGGGGCTGTATGTGCTTACTGAGTTCTAACAATGCCCACTTGGGACCCATCTTTTCCAGGAGAGGGGAGACTTCTCTATAAAAATTTACTTTAGTAGGCCAGTGACCAGCTTTTCTTTTTCTTCACTGAAGCCAAAACAAGGAGAAATTGACTTTTAGTACAATTGGAAGAAAGCAAGTTCAACATAAAAATGAATGTCCTCAGCCTCATGGGCACCTATGATTAAAGGTGGCTGTGTAAATCTCCTGTAGGGTTCTTTAAGAATAGGAGCCAACTGGCTTATGATATCATAGATGGAGTTCAGTGTAGGTAATGAATAGACATTGGTAGTACAGTTTAATAATTATAGGAAGACACAAAGTTAGAAGACCCAGCTTCATAATGTGTTACTTGTCTTGTTGGCTGAAGGATCAGGTCACATTTCTGAGCCTCAGTTTCCTCATATTTAGAATATAGGTAAATGGCCAGGTGCAGTTGCTCACACCTGTAATCCTAGCACTTTGGGAGGCTGAGGTCGGCAGATCACTTGAGGTCAGGAGTTTGAGACCAGCCTGGCCAACATGGAGAAACCCCCATCTCTACTAAAAATACAAAAATTAGCTGGGCATGGTGGCGTGTGCCTGTAGTCCCAGCTATTTGGGAGGCTGAGACACCGGAATCACTTGAACCCAGGAGGTGGAGGTTGCAGTGAGTCAAGATTGCGCCACTGCACTCCAACCTGGGTAACAGAGTGAGATTCCATCTCAAAAAATTAAAATGAATGAATGAATGAATGAATGATAATAGTGAGGCCCAGTTTATTCCGTAAGGATCAAGTGATGGAGTATATATGAAAAGACTTTGCAAAACGTAAAGCATGAGGTATTTGAAAGGTGGTGTTGTGAAAGGTCCTGCTGGAAATTCATTTTTTATCTATCCTGAAGAGCTCTCCCTATGCCTTACCTTCTATGGAAGGCACAAAGACGAATTCTGAGCCATGACAGATGCATCAGGCAGGACCTGAACAAACATGTTAACTTAAGTCAAAGATCAGCGTGTGAGTATGTGTGTGCGTGTTCATATATATGTGTTCATATTTGTTGTGCATTTATTTTGAGAACCTAGGGTTATTCTGTGGCTAGCGTGTTGGAGGGCAGATATATGAGAGAGGATATATATTCCATAGACTATTTCGATTGTCTTTAAGTTGTTTTAGTTTTGGTCTTATGGAGCCATTATTGCCTTGAGCAAAGTAGGCTGATGGAAAAGCTGACTTCTAGAGGACTTGTTCAGAAATTCAGTGCTGGGGAGAGAGTGCTTGAGTCTCTTTGCCTGATAGGCCATGTGTTCTCTATTCTGGAATGTGTTACCTCAAATGCTGAGAAGACTGATGGCCCATACAAGCTGGAACAGTTGAGGGAAAAAGAAAAAATAACACAGTGGGCAGGATGGTAGAGAGAGGCAGACTACCTCCCCACCCTCACCCCATCCCTATCACTGTGCTTAGATGAATTTCATGAATGTGTGTTTGCTCGTACGGCAGTGGAATAGATGTCTGCCTGCTCTTGTGTGGAGCCCAGTCCTGCTAGCCATAAAGTCTGGTGAGCAGGGTTAGGGTCCATTCCATGCACAGGTCCTGCCTTGCTGGGTGATCTCCAGCTCATCTGTTCACTTCCTTGTTAAGTTTTGCCATCCATCAAATGCAGAAGTCAACCCCGACCTCTCCCCCTACCGTATCTCACAGAATGGTTGTACAAACCACTGAGAGAATCTGTGCTAAAGTTGAGTTTCTTGGGTGTAAGGCATCACAGAAAGCCATATTCTTTCCTACCCATAACCTCTCTGGATGGCATCATGTGTGAGTGAGAGGAGGAGGCTGCAGGACTGGGGTCCATTATGCGTGAGGAATGTTACGGTCTGTTACCCCAGGAGGAGGGGCACAGTGGGGTTACATAATGTACCACCAACTCTCAATTAGTCAGTTCCAAGGAGGAGGAGGAAAGGGGGAGGAGCACAGGGAATTGAAAGCAAATAAGCTTGATTCTCATTTTAGCCATTGCTTTCAGCCTCTCCACCCATTCCTGACCCAGAGCCACCTTGAACCACCAAGGAGAGATGGACTGGAGCTTTCTTTGTTCTGCGTAGGAGGAGTTCATGATTAGGGATAAAAAGTATAAGACATATGTAGTACATATTCATATTCTGGGTCATTCCATGCACTGACTAACAGAGAGTTGACAGTATTGTTTGTCTTGTAGTTCAATGGAACTTGTGTTCCAGTGCCATCCCCCTCACCCCTATCTCTCACCACTCGAGTATATGAGTTTTTCTATAAGTAGTAGAGCTCTGTGGGTGGGGGAAGGGGCAAGCAAGGTAGCTGTGTGGACTGAACACATTCTCATTTTGTCTCCTAAGCTGATCACTGGAGATTCCATCGTTAGTGCTGAGGCAGTATGGGATCACGTCACCATGGCCAACCGGGAGTTGGCATTTAAAGCTGGCGACGTCATCAAAGTCTTGGATGCTTCCAACAAGGATTGGTGGTGGGGCCAGATCGACGATGAGGAGGGATGGTTTCCTGCCAGCTTTGTGAGGGTGAGTGTCAGTCTTCACTCTCCTCTCCTATTTCCTTGGCTGCCTGTACCTGGCTTCCCCTTCACCAGCCTCTGTTCTCCTGTTTATTTCTCTCCTGGTGGCTTTTCTCATATTTTTTTCCTTTTTTTAAATTGTCTCATACAGAGAACCTGGGCTTCCTTTAATCTGTGCCCTTTTAATTTTTAGTCTTTTCCCTTGTCTCTTGTTTAACACCCCCACCCCACCACCTCCCACCTTTGTACAAATCACTTACCTTGTCTGGGTCTTGGTTTCCTCTTTTGGGGTTGGCCTTGGTGGTTTTTGAATAACTTTTTAACCCTATATTGCTGTGAACTTTTGTCTTTCTTATCTCTTTTTTTCTACTTTCTATTTCTCATCTTTTTTATCCTTTTTTCTCGTAGTTTCTTCCCATCTCCTTCTCTTGCTCCTCTGCTCTTCTCCTCCTCTCCTTCCTGTCTACTTCATTGCCTCTCACACCCCTGTGTATTGTCACTGTGTGTTCAGATGTTAATATAAGAGTGTGAGCTCCCTGCCCCCCAGGGGCTGGAGCTTACTGATATCAGATTTTACTTTTTTCAAGAGAATCAAGTGGCTGGGATCTAAATGTGCCGGGGGTGGGAAGCAAGTGGCATGTAAGGTCTTGCAAGCCTTCTGCCTCTTTGACATTGTACCATGAAGAATCTGGCCCTTAACAGAGAGGCTCTTGGGAGGAATTTCTCAGCAGCTTTTGCTTTTTCTGGGTTACTATAAAGGAAGTGATCCCAATGTGCTTATGACCTCAGGGTGCTATGGGGAAAGAACATTGGTTAGGTGTTTCAGCTCTTATTCTTTCTTGGAATTGTGAGCTGGAATCAGTTATTTGACTATTTTGAGCTCTGATTTTCCTCATCTGCACAATGGTCTTGACAGTTCTTTAATGCCAGGGCATGTCACAGTGAATGAGATAAAACATGCGAAAACTGCTTTGTGGCAAGACAAGTACTGAAGCCACATGAGGGTGTGTTATAACCATCCTTACTACAGCCTATCACATTTTGTTAGTTTCTCCTGTAAAATTAGGCTGAAGTCTTCTAGACCCCAAACAAAAGATCAGAAGGGCTAGCTCTAGGGCTCGTAGAGGTTGAAGGGCCTTAAGATTAGAATTATGGCAATGTGATATAAAGAAAGGAAGAGGGCATTTGGAGTTAGAAAACTTAAGATACAGTTTTACTACCTTCTGGCTCTATAGCTTTTGGTAAGATTTTTAGCTTCCCTGAGCCCTGATTTCCTCATCTGAAAAATAGGGATAACAGACTTTTTGTAAGGAATTAGATCATACATGCCAATAAGGTGTCTAGCACAGTGCTAGACAGATATTAGGAACTTAGCCAATGGTATCTTGTTTTGTCATAATTATAATAATCACCACCACCTTCTTAGCTCCAAGAAGGTCCATATATCAAGGCTTCCCTTGAGGTTGATAGAGGCCTCCTTCCTCAAGGCAAAAAAATCCAGAAAGCATCGTTACCTGGTTGGGACAGTTTAGGTGAGGGCACTGCCTAGAAGCAGAGGAAGGGACAAAATTACCTCTCATTCCCTTCTATCATGAGAATCTTCTAATGAAATATCCAATCTTTTCTTCTCTTCTGTCAGAGTCTGCAAATGCCATCTGTGTCCCAGCTCATCTTTGCTGGTTAATGAATCAGTCCCAGGGATAGTCAGAAAAAGCATATCAATAACCACAGACCTTCAGGACTAATGTGAGGCCCTGTATGCATACAGCTGGTATGTCTTGTGCTTACAGACCTCCCTCTTTAAAAGAAGGATTAAACTGTACCCAATGATGATGTCACCCAAATCCAAATGCATTTCATTTTCAGGGAAATGTCACTTTTATAATAAATAGTAAATCCAAGGATGGGGGGAAATGATTGAGCAAGCCAGGATTGCTCAGGGAAGCAAATGACAGAGCCAGACTTCAGAATATCAGTGAGCGCCATTAATGTCCCTAAGTCTGAGGCCAGGAGGAGTGTTCCTACAGGAACACAGCCCCAGCAGCCACTTGGTATAGAGTCTAGCCCAGGTGGTTCTCAACCCTGGCTATATAATAGAATCACTTCAGTAGCACAAAAAACAAGAAGAAGAACCCAGACACACAAAAACACTAACACCCAGGCTCCAGGCTAGTAAAATAAGATCATTTGACTAAATTGGTGACTGACATGGTGCGATATCTTCATTCCCTACCTGGAAATCTCATTGCTGACATTTGAGCCCTAGGATGGATAATCAAGGTGTTTAGTGTGGTTCTGTTCAAGTTAACCCTACCTGTTGTTACACATTAAAACCCAACCTGCAGTCTGGGAAACCCAGATTCTTGCCTCAGTTCTATTATTAGAAATGTAACTTGAGCAGCTTCCTATGCATCTTCAAATATCAGTTTTCTTCCTTGTAAAATGGGGACAATTCGGTCTTGTAAAAATGCTTTGTTACCTGTGATATGCTGGATACTTGTAAATACGAATTATGATACCATTTGGCCACTGTACAGGAACTTACCAGGTATATGTGTCTTCAACCTATTCACATCTGTCTCCTCTGTTGTTCAGAATTTCATACTTGTATGTGCTTGTGTGTGTGTGTACGCACGCGCTCAGGTTCTTTCCTTTCTGTACTGGGGACATGGCTTCACAAGAGCAATGTAGGAGCTGATATACCTTCCCAGTAGTAGGTAAGGTTAAATGAATTAAACTTGCTGAACATCAGTCCTCATATCTAGTTGTTGACATCTTCAGCTGTTTTCCTGGGCTGGTTTCCCTGCTAGGAGCTAAGGGTAAACTGCTAGGATATGATTGTGTCTCAACTCTCATGTCTGTGGTGGGCCTCCTTTTGTCTAATAGGCCCTAACTTCAAGTCATTCAGGCTCTTTTCCTTTGTCACTGTGCATAAAAGGAGGCTTTTTTTTTCTGACTTTGGGCCATGGCCTGAGGAGAGCTTGCTGCCTAATTAAGGGTAGGTTGTGAACAGGACACATTACAGCCTGTTATTGATGGGCTCATGTGACAAGGCACGGGTTTGGTCAGAAAGTAAAGAGCTTGCTGAGGTGTTATCAGGAGCTGGATATATACTTTTCTTGTTCTTTCAAATTCTTTATTTCTCTCATTTCTGGCCTGCTTGGAAGTACGGAAATGAAAAGATGATCTAAGCCAGTCATTACCATCATTTGTTGGTTTTCTACAGACCAAATATCATGGAAACCCAACTTTTCAAAGGAAAGCCCATTGTTCTAGAGTGTGACCTGGCTTTTATTTGTATTTTGTCTCATTTTGGCTGCAAAAAGAGATACTTGGGAAAAGCTTTTCACCTTTATGAAACCCTAGATTCACTGTAGATTTAGAACTGGAAAGACCCATCTTAGCCAAGAGTGGCCAACTTAGATGCTTACAGGGGCCAATTAAGTGAGTGAAGCAAATTGAGACAAGGGGTAAGTGGGCGCCTGCATCCATTTGGGAAATCCATGCCCCATCTAAGGACAGCAAAAGTGACTTGGATGTTTCCCATCATTAGAGTGGGGTATAGTGGAGAGGAAAGCCCAGGGGGGCCAGATCTTCTAGTATTTCAAGTAAAGCCAGGAATTGGATTTTTATGTAAAACTCTTTATATTTAAAAATGTTAATGAGTAATTCATATTTTTAAAGAAGCACAGTGAGCATCAAACAGAACACATCTGTAGGATAAATTATCTCCCAAGGACCCAGCTTGTTGCCATTAGTCACCCTACCTCCACATTGTATAAATACTGAGGAGACATGGGCCCAGAAAATGGAAATAACTTGCTTTCTCATGTAGGGAATTAGTGGCAAAGTCAGGACTTGAACCCAGGCCTCCTGAATCTTAAGACAACTTTACTAGACAGTCTTTGTCTAATAAGTTTAATGTCTTGGCTTCCTTTGGTATGTTTTCTGCCAAATTGTTTTTTTCCTGTGAATAGGTCATATGTTCCTGTTTTCTTGTAGACCTCGTAATTTTTTGTTGAAAACTTGGCATTTTGAATATTATAATGTGGTAACTCTAGAAATCAGATTTTCTTCTCTCCCCAGGGTTTGCTACTGTTGATTGTTGAGGGTTGCAGTTGTCCATTTGTTTAGTGACTTTTTCCAACTATTTTTGCAAGATTGTATTCTTGTTATATATGGTTGCTGAAGTCTCTGTTATTTTATCTCGTTGGTCAGCCAATAACCTGACATTTCCTTAAACATCTGGAGCCAAGAAGAAAAAACAATACTACTTTCCTGGTTTTTGCCGCTTGATTCTGAGCTGGAGTACTCACTTGAGACTGTGCCAGGTCATCAATTCTTTTGTCTCAGCCTTCTCCTCCTGTTTGTATGTAGATCACACATCCTCCAGAAATACAAGCCTATGGTCCTCTGAGGTTTTTTCTGAGCATGCGTCTGGTCCTGGGCATGCGTGTTACAGTGTGACTTCCCTGGTATGCATGATGGCCTTTATTCCCCAAAGAAACTTCCTTTTTCCCAAAGAAACTTCGTTTTTAGCTTCCTCCTTCTTGTGCTATTGCATCTGTTTGCTGTTTGTCCTGTCCACAATCCCTTGTCCCAAGTGGGCATGAGCAGTGTATGTCTTTAAATCTTTCAACAAAGGCAGCCACAGCCTGGAAAGCCTCTCCAGCCAGAGGTCAACCTCTGTGCTAGTCCCTCAGTGCCAAACAGGTCAAAAGGCGCAGCTAAAATATTGTAAAGAACAAGGTCATTATCTCCTGGCACCAGAAAGCCACACCAGGAATGTGGGCCACTGTCACTTCAGCCACTGGGGAATGAGGGATGGTAAGGGGATAAGCAAAAGTGCTTCAGTGCTCTATTACCGAATTTTTGCTGCCCTTTTCTGCGTTACGCAGTCCCCTGTAAGTTGCTGCAAGTTTTGGATTAGATTCTAGAGTTCTAAAACAATGGGTTCTATCATTCATTGCCAGTTTAAGGTTGTTTCAGTGGAAGAACTGATTCTTT